ACAACAACAACAACAACAACAACAACAACAACAACAACAACAACAACAACAACAACAACAACAACAACAACAGATAAACAGCAATATTGTGAAAGATTACAATTTTAATATATTTTAAAAAGTAATTTATTCCTGTGTGGCCAAAACTGAATTTTTGAGCAGCCATTACTCCAGGTATAAGTCCATCCGTCCATCCATCCATCCATCCATCCATCCATCCAATTTAGAAAGCGCTTGAGTTCTGTCAGATGATCTTCTGCTTCTTCAGAGTAACACCTTAAGCCACCAATTCTTTTATCGTTTTATATAAAAAAAGCCATTACAAAACAGTACACTATCTCACTATCTCATGTACATTCCCAATGAGTAAAGTCTGCACTCTGCTCACAGGGATATAGTCAAATGTGACAGCCTAAGAGAGGCTATCCTGTGGGTCAGTTTCCCAGTTATCTCGTCATCTGGCCTTTTTGAAGGCTCACTTTAACAGTCTCCATTAAATCAAGGACAACTTCTTAATGGCTCTGTCTCACCCTTCAGCCCCTAGGCCAAACCTAGGGTTGCTAAAGTTGTAAAGGCACGGGCAGGCTGCATCACTATAAACAGTACCTCAGAGGTCACCACTTGCTGCAGGAAAAGCAGTCCTGCATAAGAAAGCCCAGGACCCTGGAGCCACAGGACAGGGAAATAAATAGTAATTGCAAAACAATGGTTAAAAGGCTCCTTGAAATGAGGGAGTTGCTGTACTTTATTTTACAGCAACGGCCACAGGGCGAGAAAGGTCTGCTCTCAGGTCTCAGTGAGACAAAAAGATGCATCTGACTAATCCAATCTGAATAATGTTTAATTATTAGCGCTCCTGAAGGGGAGAAATGTGTAGGGGAAATGACCTATGAGAATAATGCACAGTCAAACGAGGCATTTAATTAAAAAGAGTATGAAGAGCACTGCACTTCAAATCATCTTTTTATTTTCAGTAATTAGGTGAGCAAATATAAGCCAGTGCATTTGGGCATGTGCATATCAACATCTCGCAATTAAATTAGGAAGTCAAGAAAAAACATACTCCTCTCTTACCATGTCACCCAGCTTTAGGGCTCATTTTGTTCTTTGGGTTAGAAGACACACACACACACACACATACATTCCTGTTTAATTCAATTAGATGTGAGCTGAAGCTACAAAAAGCACACTGAGGTGACTGTGTTTGTCATGCCCTATAAACCTGGTGAGGAGGAGGGGATCCGGTAGGATCAGAGTTGGAGTGTGTTACAGACAGAACAAGGCAAGCCAAAAAAACAACAACAACAACACACACACAGAGGAGAGAGGAACACACCAAGAATGACCTGGGATAAGTAGTGAGGGAGTTGATTATGTTGCAGACAAGGGGTAAGAGACACATTACTGAGAATGAAGGAATTTAAAACAGGCATCCGCTCCCATGGGAAGAGGAGTCTAAAGAAGGAAGGGAAGTGGGTCAGCTGCTTGGCAGAACAGGCTGTCTCATAAGTGCTGAACACTAAATACTCTGACACCTGGGCAGAGATGCCGCACTGCAGCCCGTCTGGCAGATACAGTATGGCTGAAGATTACATGGGCCAATAAACTGTTTTGCTCTCTCAGTGTTTTTACAAATCATTTTACAAATGATAAAGCGGACCTATTTAATTATTGAAGCCGTATTTTTAACTACTGAAGGCACAGTTCACAAAACAAAAAAAAAAATCAGTCATCATTTACTCACACTCATGTCATTCCAAACCCACGACTTTCTCTTTTCTGCGTAACAGCAGAAGAAAGTCAGCCACATGGGTATGGCATGATGGTGAGTAAATGATGACAGCGTTTACATTTTGGGGTGAATTTTTAGCCATACTTTAAAATGAATGAATTTCTGTCAGGACAACTCTGTGTAACGAAACTGCACAGGTACACAAAGTTTGAGAATTCAGATGCAGTATTTATTAAAGGGGTAATCCACAATCAAAGTCCAAAACAGATAAAGGTCCTAATATGGGCAATCAGTCCAAACAATAGCAACAGGGAAAAAAACACAGGCAAAGGGTCATCCAGAGACAGGCAGGGAAACAATAGCAGAGACCCAGACAAGGAAGAACCAGGAAACAAGGTTTAGGAATGCAGTACTGACACATACAAGACTTAGCAATGAATGACAAATATGAACCAGGCTTATATAGGGTGAGCAGACATTGTTAACGAGACACAGGTGCAAACAATGAGTGCTGATGAGTCTGGGCAAAGGATTATTGGAAATGAAGACCGAATGACAGAGGTATTGTTGGAGTGCCCTCTGGTGGTTATCAAGGGCACTCCAGTTGGTGATCGTGACACTCAAGAGCGTTTAAAGGGGTCCTATTATGCTCTTTTACAAAGTCTTGATTTTGTTTTGGGGGTGTACTAGAACAGGCTCTCATACTAGGTTGTTTGAAAAACACATTATTTTTCACATATTTTACATTATTACAACACCTCTCTCCCCAGTCTGGCATGAACGGCTCGAATAGTTCCTGTATCAAATGAAAGCCCGCCTTCTGAAATACGTAATGTGCTGTGATTGGTTAGCAGGGCCAGTGTATGTTGTGATTGGCACCACTCGGCGCCTGGTCAGGAAATGTCATGCCTTAATGTGTTTGGTCTTGGTGGAATAGATCTGCTGTGCTGCTGCTGCTGTGGCAGAGCAAGTACCGAGATTTGCTACTGCCAATACATCCTCAGACATGCTGCTATGAGCATGCAAGAAATATTGCTGCTGCACATATAATATATATGAAATAACCACCATGTATAACATACATGAAATTACCCCGTAGCAGATCTATACCGGTGGAGCTGGGGAAGGTGGAGGGTTTCTGAAACGCACTGCAACTGCTACAGCAAACACTAGCCAAGTATTTGAATGTTGAGAAGCAATAACTAAAGTTGAAAAAGTGAAAAAGCATAATAGGACCTCTTTAATATGGTAATATACATGGCAACGTTAATGTGTTTGGTCTTGGTGGAATAGATCTGCTGTGCTGCTGCTGCTGTGGCAGAGCAAGTACCGAGATTTGCTACTGCCAATACATCCTCAGACATGCTGCTATGAGCATGCAAGAAATATTGCTGCTGCACATATAATATATATGAAATAACCACCATGTATAACATACATGAAATTACCCCGTAGCAGATCTATACAGGTGGAGCTGGGGAAGGTGGAGGGTTTCTGAAACGCACTGCAACTGCTACAGCAAACACTAGCCAAGTATTTGAATGTTGAGAAGCAAGCTCATTGGCTGCTGATTTGAAAAGAAACCAATCAGATGAACCATGTGAATAATGATGTGATTTTGCCAGATTGAGTTAGAACCTATGCTGCATCATGACAGAATTTTGTATTTCATTTCAAAGTGGCATCTCATTTTCACTTATTTCAATTAAGTAAATTAAGGTATAGTCCACCCAAAAATGTAAAAGTTGTCATCATTTACTCTCTCTCATGTCATTCCAAACCTGACTTGCTTTCTTCTGTGGAAGACAAAAGAAGATATTTTGAAGAATGTTGCTAGCTCCAACAGTTTCTGTTCCCATTGACTTCCACTGTATGGACAAAAATACAATGGAAGTCAATGAGAACGGAAACTGTTTGGTTACCTACATTCTTCAAAATATATTTTGTGTTCAGCAAAAGAAAGAAATGCACATAGGTTTGGAATGACATGAGGGTGAGTAAATGACGAGTTTTCATTTTTGGGTGGACTATCCCTTTAACCATTTCATAATCATTTTGAACTAACTGCACCCATGGTCATTTGACAACTATGTAGTTTGATAAACACAAAATGTCCAAATGCTTTTTGTCTTAATTAATTAATTATATATTAATTGACCCTTGTTTTTATATTTTGTTATCCAATACAATGACATTTATACATTATTATATTTTAAAGTGTCACATTCAGATTCCAATGTTTTGGAATCTGAATGCGCATCTCAGGAAATTATCAAGAGAGAATTTTTCAGGTAAGGTTCATCTTTTAATGGCTCACTGGCTTCAGGTCAGGTTTAAGAACACAACATAAATATTAACCAATACACCCAGCTTTGTACTTGCACATGATATCATGATAATTTTCATCGCAACACTATATAACCAAACTTTTTTTTTTCTAAAAAACAATAGCCAAATTTGCAGCAGAAAACTTTAAGTATGAAATATCATAATTAGCCATCAATACAACTGAAGAGAAGACATGATGCTAACAAAACACACAGATGAGAACCAAAGTCAAACATAACAAACAAACAACACCCCACAAAATGTACTGATTGAGTAACAAAGGAAAGGATTAAACATACTTGTAGACATACAGTAAGTACAGTAGACTCTCCTTTGGGAGATGTGCTAATGCCCTCTGCTGGCCAGAAGAGAAACTGTGGCTGTGTTTGAATTTAGGCTCTGATTGGATGACCTGTGTCAGCTGTTTTGTTAGTTTAAAAGTTTAGAGCATCCATTAAAAAATGAACTTTTTCACTTCTTTTTCTTTCTCTTTTTAGTCTTCCCTTCCTTTCCTTTTTTTTTGTGATTTTCCTCCTTTTGTTTTCCCTTTCTTGTGATCTCCCTCCTCCTCACTGGCCTTGGCCGCTCGTGCCCGTTTTTTGCCTAGAGGTGTCCGGCTGTACCATGCCTATCAATACAGAAAATACAAATATAATGTACACTCATTATACATATAGCTGGGTTCAACACATGCACCCCTCCAGAAAGCATCACAAAAAAACTTACTTTAAAGGCCGCCTCCTCTTCTTTGTAGACAGGGTCTTGTCTTGCAAGAGGGGGGATGAACTCCACCGCAGTGAGGGGTCTCTTGGTCTGCTGGTTGAGGCGGTGAGAGTTTAGGACAATTTGGATCTCCTGAAGGATGTGTCCCTGAGTGTAACCATCTGTTACTTTAGCTAGAGAGCTCAAATCCAGCTTAGGGCCCAGCTGAGCACCACCTGCTTGGAGCAGCTCCTTCCACAGAGCTAAACATAAAAGATACATTTGTAAAATCATGTACACAATAATCTAGATTTAAAAAAACTACATACAATGAAGCAGATTTTAGTAGGGCTGTTCGATTCCGAAATTTTTGGAATCGAGTCCGATTCCGATTCCTGATTCTGGAATCGATTCCTCACTGTTGTTTTCTATTCTTTCTCGATTCTTGTTTTTTTAGATTGAATGAATATAATCTCACCATGACTGCAGGATAAAGGTCGTAGAAAGTATCCTTCTCATAATATGAAGCTTTATTTGTAAAAAAAAAAAAATAAAATAATGAAGATACATAAATTGTAATTTTGTCTGCTTTGAAATTGAAATTTTTGATCGTGAAATTAGTCATAGTCCACAGCTCAGCAGGAACATGCGTTTATCGCATGAATTGAACATGACATGAAATGTCTAAAATAAATGTGCACAGTTCAGCTGAATGATGAAGTTTACTTTGACTGTATGCTTTGCACAAAATTAACAAACTGTACACTGAAACAAAATAACCAGAACATTAACAATAACTGATAGAGCTCGTGGTTTATCTGTCAATCAGATGCGCTCTCAGCCACTGATCTATGCTCGGGATGTTTTCTTTTATAATTATCATTGGCTGACAGAAATGTAAAATAACAAATATATATATTCTGTGGTGCAGCGCTCAAAATTGTGGACAAGCCAGGTCCACCGTAAAATAACCTCTGAATCGTTTTTTTTTTTTAAACTGGTTCTAATGACTTCTAATCACTTTTATCGAGCATGAGGGAGGCGAATGGTAATAAAATATAAAAATGAAAATAATCTTTTATCTCACAACTCTTGTAATTAAGGCTTTTAGCGAGCATGAGGGAGGTGAATGGTGCTTCTCAAAAGGAAGGCTGCATCCTAAAATTCAGATGATCTCAGTACCGACTCGTTTTCTTTCAGTTTATTTTCGTGAATTTAAATGTGTGCAGCCTTCGTAGGATGCAACCTTCCGTTTGAGAGGCACCCATAGATAAGATTTGTTGAACTGAAAAAGGCTTGATGGAATCGACTCTCGATTCCCAACGCCTCCGAATAGATTCTTTTTGGAATCGATTCCCAGCCCTAGATTTTAGTGATGCAAACTGATCTAAATATGTCAGTAACTTGAAATGTGAAAGCAGTCTCAGAATAAAACTAAAATTAAACACACACAGATGTTTACTTACTAAATCTTGAAGCATAATCTGGCCTAGGGATCAAAATGATCTTCTTGTAAGCTTTACAGAAAGGTTTTATGTCTGCATCAAAAGGTCTGTGAGTCGTCCCCACCACTAACACACGGTCCTCAGGACCTTTGGCAGGTTTTTCTTTAGTCTTTTGGGTTCCATCTAGAATTAACAGAATGAAGAAAAAGCTGAACTGAAGAAAACAGAGTTATACAGGGATGTGTTTTTTTTTTGTCCAAAACCTTGAAATGTTTTGGCATTTTAGCACTTCTGGTTCCATTGTCTCAAATGGAACATTTTTTTTTTGAATGGGGTTTTTGGTTAAATGCCTGAAATAAGGCCTATGGTTAACACAAGCTCAATATGTTTTCACGTTTTATTCCACAACATAAAAATCAGTACCCCCTTGTGAAAAGTGAAAAAGCGACTGCTAACAAGTGGCTAAATGGGACTACAGAAGTTATTTGGGACCTGTAGTTCATTTGTAGCCAGTGAAAAAATCCTATTGAGTTTTTGTTGATTGAATCTGGGTGATGCTAATTTCCAGGTTGGCCTACAAAAATATATCATCACTGCAGCACTCTGTTAATGTTAGTACAGTGTATCTTCATCTTTAACCACAAGAGGTCAGCAGAGGCCACCTCCTCACATTGACAACAGCTTTAAAAACTGACTTTGCACACACTGAATGACTTTTGAATGAAGGACTAAACAAATGAAGAAGAATATCACAGCTGATGGTCTGGTATTAAGACTTGTGTGCAGGGATGGGTTCAAAGTTATGTTTATTTAGTAAGTGTTCTAATGACTGTGAATGTAAGCTGACATGTTTTTTTTCCCTGCCGGTAGACAAACCTCTTTCTCCAGCTTTGGACATTTTTTGTAGAATGTTTTCTCAGCGTCGCCAATCCAAATAACTGAGGTCTGCAGCTGCCGAGCCACATGCCAAAACACGACAATGTTCCTCCAACGCAGGCCAAACGGTACAACAACACAAACAATCATCTCAGCTCTCTCACTCACAAACAATCACTTATCAGCCAGAAAAGAAACAACACTGACTGTAATCAGCACTGCCCCCAAAACACATGGTACCACATTAGTGAAGTGAATGCGTTAATATCATTTGACTGAAAACAATGCGTCCTGTTCACTAATGATTAACAAAGTTTTCTGTAAATAAACTATGTTCCCTCTAATTTTTATTGTTTATTGAGCCAAACTTAATTTCTAATGGGTGGACCATTTGGCCATCTGAGCATAAACCCCTCTCCCATGTACCAGAACATTTTTTGTGAAGAAATTCTACAAACAAACAAACAAACAAACAAATAAATATGTTAATAATAATACAAATTATTATTATTAATTAGATTTTGGTAGATTATGCTATATTTTACAGTAACTATATTTTTAATATTGGTAAGATATAGGCCATACCTTTAACCTCACACTTGATAACCGTTTTATAATTTAAGATAGTTATTAAAGAAGATACTCAGAAGTCATGTTATTTTCTGATCAAATAATAAGTGAAGAAAGAAATGTTATACACTGTGGCTGATACAAGTCAAATACTGCACAATATAACCTAGAACAGGGGTTTTCAAATTAAGGTCCGAGGGTTCTAGGGAGTCTGAACATACAATAAAATTAAATCAAAATGAATTTAATTGAAATCAGACTTATTTAGTGTGTGTATACATCTAAAAGATTATACACTTAGATATTATCAGTAAATAATAATATTTTAGCTTATTTGATATGTTTATATTTTATATTAATGTTATATACACATGGTTTTATGTATAGGTTTTCTGGTATTCTGCATGCATAAAATCTTCATACTATGCATAGTATATACATAGTATATTCTGTAGTAAGAGTTAGTATACTATAATAGTATGTTTCTGCCTCAGTCTTGTTTTCCTGACAAAAGTCAAATATGGCCTCTGTGGGCTTCTGTATGTTTGGAAACTGTCAATATACAGTATTATAACTCTCTTTTAGTACTGCTATGAACTTAAAATCTCTGTAAGTTTTTGTTTTATGATACAGTCCATAGTGAATTAATCAGCACTGCATATTTCCACACAAGATTTCTCAGATTCAGTTCCATAATGAAAATCAATGGATTTGGGGATTGACTCCATTTGAAATGCTGCTCATTCATTTAGCAGTAATTCAAGAAAGCACTAGGTCTTTTTCCCACACATATTTGAGTTAGCCTTCTGGATTTGCGGATTTGTTTTTGGCCTCCACAGCAGAAACATCAGAAGCTACAGATTAGAAAGGAACAGTATACAAACTAACTTCCGTAAATGTACTTAAGTAAAACCTTTCTCTACTGTTTGTAACAGAGAGCTTTACATTGGGCAGAATTTGGTTCAAATTCAGATTAATCTCCAAATGACTAAGCAAGCAGGAAGTCATGTTGGCACCTGGTTTTATTCCCAGCATGCATTAGGAGAGGTGCTGAAAGACCACCATCCAACACAATGCTGAGCGCAGAATATTAGAATCCCCCTGCCACATCCTGTCTTGTTTATCTGCTGTGCCAAATGCTCTCAGGAACAGTTCTTCAAGTGGAACTTCCAAACCTGGTATTTCCCTCTCTTAAGAACACAAATATGGCCACTAGGGGTGTGACGAGACACTTATCCCACAAGACGAGACAAGAGACTGGGTTCACGAGAACGAGACGAGACGAGATTTTTCAACTGAAAAACACAAAATGCAAAAAATGTAGGGGCATTTTGAAATCAACTTGTACTTTATGAAATTAAACTTCTATTTTAATGAATTATATGCAGCAATAAACAACATGTAAACTAGAGCTGCACGATTCTGGATAAATTGAGAATCATGTTTTTTTAATATATAAATTGGAGATCACGATTCTCTCACGATTCTGAAGAAAAAAAGATTAGAAAACTAAACAAAATAACATAATGTACTAGTGGTTCTGACAAAATGTTCATTGCTTAAGTCTTTTTAAAAAAATATTAATTTAAACAAAATAAAAAAAAAATGAATGAAGGAGTCAGTGTCTCAATTCATAAAGACCTGTTTCACAATTGGAATCTCCTGAATGAATGATTCAATGACAAATACTTTTTTTAAATGGGCAGTTGTCGCCACCTCCTGAAGGAAGAGTATAAGCATTACAATACATACGAGTGTTAAGATACTTTCGTTTTGATCGCTACAGTAGAGAATAAGTGTTTATACCCAAACTATAAACTTTTATCCCTGAACTTATGTTATTTAAAAGTCTGTAACACAGAAATAATGATGTGTGGTTGAAAAAATTGTTTGTGTTGCTCTTTTTGGATCAGCAGCTGCATGAATGATTCATTAACATGGGCAGTGACAAAACATGCTTCTCACGCTCCAACTGACACTCGCGATCTTATAGACATAGCTGAATCGTTGTCATTCAGGAATAAGATTGTGTTTGTGTTTGAATCGAGATCGCGATCTTTAAACAATTAATTGTGCAGCTCTAATGTAAACACTGCAAATTGTATTGCGAGGATATCGTCACGTATCTTGTGCCACGAGATCTCGTCACATCCCTAATGGTCACAATAAACTTTCCTGGCGGGCAACTGCACAAATTTCACAGCGCTTTATTGATATGAGCTGTCTATGCTCTGTGATTTATTACTAAAGGGAAGAGGTAATGTGGAGATACAGTTTTGGCCTCCTAGTTTAAACACACAAGTTTATTTATGTACAGTACTAATGGATGTCATGCCAGAATATTTTTCATAAACAAAAACATTTCACTCCATTTTAGAAGATGAATAGATGATGACAGCAGTCAGTCAATATGTTGATTGATCACCTTTTATGACACATGGAGCTAAAAAAATCTCATGCAGCTTCAACATTGGAATCTTGGCTTTCTACGTTGCCAGGAGGTATTTGGAGAGAGACCTCAGATGATTTCTCCTCACCTTGAAGACCATGTGCAGGAGGTATTGCAGTCCGCTTTTGCCTGGATATTTGCCAGCTACCGTTGCTGGGGAGAGGTCAAATAGGTTTGCCCCAGTCTCGGTGCACAGGCCATGGACCAACATCTTCTTCCCAACACCTGCCGGCCCCGTAAGCAGCAGAGCCCGGATCAGGGGTCCTCTTTCATGGATGCACTCCGAGCCTATGGAGACCAGAAGAGGGAGCAGTGAGTGTTCATTCTAATATCTTGTATCTTCTGTGTTCTAACCCTTTCTATGTTCCCATCGTCGATCTTGACCTCCTACACTTTTATCATTAATTTTACTGACATTATTCTGCACAAATACTGTATATCAGATAACCGTCTGTACACACCAGTGGAATAAGAGTAAATGATTAAAAGTCATCTCAAGAGTATTGCCAGATGATTTCCGATATAATATTGCTGTAACAAAGAAGGAAAATCCCCTTTGACTCCAGCTGTTTAAACTCTAATACAACTCACCCAATCATTAACTTATATCTAAAGACGGGGAGGAACTGTGAACTCTATACTCATTTGATTAGGAACTCAGATGTCAGCAAAGGTTGATTGCTCTGGCTGCCGGTGCTCAGTAATAGAAGAACAATAGTTGAATGGCTCTCTGGGGCTAAAACACAGGTGCTGTGAGATCCTTCTGATGGATGCCGTGGTAAAAGGGCTCCTTTTGAGACCTTTTGAGAGTGAGACCACACAGAAGCACAAACAGAAGCATACACAAACAAATGTCTACCGGTGCACACACAAACATCTGGCCACACACACACATTTGGACAAACAAACACGTCCACACAGATGGAAGGCTTGCACATAGCAGGTGCTGCGCAATATCACGTCTCTGTTCTCAACAAGTCCCAAAAGCACTATAAAAGTATACCGGTGGTCCATATTTGATAACATTATATTTAAAGGAGACATATTATGCCCCTTTTTACAATATGCAGTCTAAGTCTCTGGTGTCCCCAGAATGTGTCTGTGAAGTTTCAGCTCAAAATACTCCACAGATCATTTATTATATCATTCTGAAAATGCCTATTTTGAGTGGAAGCAGAAACATGCTGTTTTTCGGGCCTGTCTCTTTAGATGCAAATGAGCTACTGCTCCCCGCCCCCTTTTTCAGAATAGGGTTGTGACTTTACAGCGTGTACCTGCTAAAAACATCTGTTTTGGTTCTGATTATCATATTTATCGCGCTGAAATCATGCGTTTTAAACCAAGAGTTTAAACTTCTGATATACGGTTTTCTGAGCGCACACATCCGAAGGAAATAAATTGCATGTTTATTTTAGATCTGTGTGGCAGCAGCAGTATACAGTAAATAAATCAATAAATGCACTGCTCTCTTGTCTCCTCTGAGGCTGGGACTCTAAATAGTGTTCTGTGCTCGTCTGTGCAGCCAATAACAGAACAATTAGCATGTTTTGCTCAAACTTTCGCCATGGCATTAGAACTGGTACACCGTTGTCGCTTGCGAAATCAAAATGACAGCGCCATGGGTGGAAATGTACAGATTAAGGGGTGGTAATATTATAATGAGATCCCTTTACAATGTCACTAGGGGAGCGAAATCAGACGTGCTCGTTTTTTCAGATGCTTGCAGAAAAAGGCTTACCAAAACAAAGTTACTGGGTTAATCTTTTTCATGTTTCCTTGGTTGGTAGATGCACCGGGGACCTGATTATAGCACTTAAAACCTGGAAAAGTCAGATTTTCATGATATGTCACCTTTAAGACATTATTCTCAGAATATCTTGGCATCCACCCATCTCTCCTTGCTGCATTCTTGAGAGTTCATGATAGAAGTAGCAATGTCTGTTTCATTCTTTTGAGTTGGATCTTTTTAACAAATTAAGTTAATTCACTTCACAAAACTGCTTTGAATGATTAGTTAACAAATTAGAAACGATCCAGTTCTTGAGTTCAGTTCACTTACTAAAATATATATAGAAAAATGTTAAATGCTCACTGGAAGGGAAATGAATAAAAACGTATTATTAATAAAAACTTGTTATTCGATAAACTTGTTCCATAAACTCGTTCATCAAACAAAGTTTTAGTGAATATTATAGCAGATATTACAATGCTTTTAAGTTGTATGGGCTATTCTAAACATAATTTCATGGTGCCTAAGTATCATTTTTGAAGCTTGAAAGTCTCTGTCTATTCATTTTAATTAAATAGAAAGAGCAGTATCATTCTTCAAAATTCTTCTTTTGTGTTTTACACAATAATACGGGTTTGGAATGATATGAAGGTGAGAAAATTAGGTCAGAAATCTCTTTTTTGGGTGGACTTTTCCTTGAAGTGAAAAAAAGCATGTGTAACCTGCCCTGAAATAAGAGGTAGACATTGAGAGCATAGAAAGCACTGTAGTGATACAGACTCATATTTTGTATGTAAGGGTATCTTTTCCTTAAATTTCCAGCTCTCTTTGACATCTCAGTGATAACCAGGAACCATTGCCCTTTAAAGGATTAGCTCACTCAGAAATGAAGTTTTGCTGAAAACTTACTCACCCTCAGACCATCCACGATGTACTGTAGATGAATTAGTTTTTTTCATAAGAATGGATTTGGAGAATTTTAGCACTACATCACTTGCTCACCAATGGATCCTATGCAGTAAATGGGTGCCGTCAGAATGAGAGTCCAAACTGATAAAGCATTACAATAATCCATAAGTAATCAACACAATCCAGTCCATCAATTAATGTCTTGCGAATTGAAAAGCTGTGTTTGTAAGAAACAAATCCATCAAGATGTATTTAATTTTTAAAATTGCTTATTCAGTAAAAAAGTTGCCACATCTGAATCAGGAGAGAAATATGCACAGATCAAGCACCATTTATAAGTTTATACTGTAAGAACTCATATTTTGGCCAGAAGTGATGGTTTAAAATGAAAATCCCTTAATGATGGATTTGTTTCTCAAAACCACACAGCTTTTCACTCCACAAGATGTTAATTGATGGACTGGAGTCATGTTCATTACTCATGGATTATTGTAATCTTTGGTGAGTAAGTGATGTAATGCTAAACTGATCAAAATATGTTCCAGTAAAGAAACAAACTCATCTAAATCTTGGATGGCCTAAGGGCAAGTACATTTTCAGCTGATTTTCATTTTTGGGTGAACTATTCCCTTAAAGACTATAACCAGCAGGGGGCGATAGAAACAGAAAAATCACCACAGTGTGCCAGCTGTGTGTTGCATGAGTAGAGCATAGGTTACATCCTAATTCAAAACTATCCTAAATAATATTAGAATTTAATTTAAGATTAGAATTAACATGTCTAAAATCATAATCAACTGCATGCATGATATAATACTCTTTGTGCTTATGTGCATGCTTTTTTATAATGAGTTTATAATGCTTTACTTTTTCCTTTTTTTGTAGTTGAAAAGTATGAATGAATGCAAAGCCAAAGCTGCAGCTGTATTTGTTCATTATATAAAAGTAAAAGTTTAGAAGTACTACTACTTAGAAGGTAATGAATTTAGCTATCAAGATACAGTACCCGAATACTGCTTTACCATACATAAAGGCTCTATTGTCTCAACTGGATAATTAGGTTGGATCACAGTTGTTTTTGAATGCTGAATAAGAATTTAAAACAATATGTATAAAGACTGTAGGAGTTCCAGCTGTATCTCAGGTATGAATCCTTGGAATTAATCATTGAACAAAATAACGTTCTAGTGTACAAATGGTTCCAGTAAAATAAACATCCCGAGTTTTGCATGTGGCTCAATGGAGAGTTCAAATTTCTAGGCCAGTGAGCACCCCCTTGAGGACGCCCATTTGTGTCTCATAGGAAAAGTTTCATATGTTATTAACTATCCAGTGCTACACAATCAAAACCATGGACTTCACCATCATCAGAGAAGTGCATACTGTTATTGCGCATTGTAAGTGTGCAGAATGGAGTTGTTGAATGTTTATGCATGAATGAATATGTATCCGTGTGTGCATTTCCCTAGCACCACGAATTAAACATGATTATTCAAAACTGAATTACACTTCCTAATCTCTCCTGACAGCTCCATTAAAAGGGCCATTGTGTTATGGAGGAAGTCCATCTGACTTCAGAATGTCTGCAAAGTTTATCAAGTATAAAATGGTTTACAGATAAGCACAATGAGGGATACTGTGAGAAACTTGTGCTTTTTTACAACCACCTTAAAAGTGGTTGTTCTAAACATGGTGCATAGTTCATGTATTTCACACTGTCCCAATATGGCGGCAATTCTATGCCATTAATAACCGAGCGCACACAGGCCTCCAAAACTGACTTCCGGAAAAGAGGAATAACCAATGACATTTGAGGTTACAATTAAAATAGCAAGCCCCGCCCCACGACTGACAAAAATAAAAGTGTTCGCGCGAGCAGGTGAGGGAAGATCGAGCGCGAGGATGTGGGGAATGATCATGCGCGTGCGAGGGCTTGTATTGCGCGCAGAGGACATCACGCGCGCGCGAGGGTTTGAAATGAGCTCGCGGGCTCCCGTTTCCTCGCGTGTAAATCTGTTTTCCTCTCGCGGAATTGATTTACCCCGCGCGCCAGCATCAGTGGTGCGCTCGGTTATTAATGGCATAGAACTGCCGCCATATCCCAATTAACAACTGCCAGCTTTGATATGCTCAAATCAGATTTAATGGTGGGAGTGATTCTATTTCTCAGGATGGGTAGGTAGTAACACATGAAAGAAAAGAAAAGAACACAAGAAATTCAAATCTAGTGGGTAGATCTAACAAGACTCAATCTCTTCAGTGAGAACACAGAGAAACAAACCTCAGGCCAGGGCAGAACAACTATCAAAAACACATAGAAAACTAGGATTTATGTTTTGTAAGAAAAGCACACACTGAGTAGGAAGTGAGAAAGTAGAATAATAATGAACCTAATGATGAATCTTTTCTCTCTCTCTTTATTCCTCTTTTTAGCAAGCTTAAAACAGAATGAATTTCTATGTTGGCTAATGCTGGTTTATATTTATTT